TTTGAGATGCGTGGTCCCTATGTGTATTCCACTTCCCACTCTCCTTCCTCTCTGCTACGCATCTGTCGTGTTGGAGAAGGAATTGGCGACACGGTCCGGTTCGACTCACCCTTTATCACCTCGGCTGGAAGCGCAAGGTGAACCAGGGCGCATGCACGGACCAATGCACACTACTTTCAAAAGCTCTGATTGCAGGCGCATGGTTCGCATGCGTAACCCCTCAGTGGAATACAAACATGGACCACACATCTCGAAGAACCTCCAGTTATAGGTAAATAACCTCCTCTTTCAGTAACTATCAGTCTGTGCTGGATTGAAACAGGTCATAAGTGCTGAAGGTTCCCTTCAGCAAATGATTTTTGGGGAGTTCTGTGGCCTCTTACTGTGACTCTGAACTTAACCATAATGCCTAGCACTAAGGTTCATGCCAGACTCATCATGCTTCTGTGTGCTGTTAACATTAGCTGGGAGGCTTTGTCTGCTAGCTATGGCCCAGTTCAACACTAATGCTGCCTTCTTGACTTCACAGGATCTGAAAATAAAGAACATGGGCTCGTGGGCAAGCTTGGTCCAGAAACCCCTCACGACTCCATCCTCCACAGCAAAGTCCTCCAGCGATAGCTTTGAGCATTTCAAGAGGGCAGCGCGGGAGAAGGAGGAGCGGGAGAAGGCGCTCAAAGCTCAGGCAGAACAGGTGGAAAAGGAGAAGGAGCGGCTGAGGCGGGAGCAGGAAAGGATGAGGTGAGAGGCCTGCACATCTGTATTTCATTGCTCCTAAAGCTGGTCTCCCCAGGGTACCGAGGTGTGTGAATGGGGTTATGTCCCCATTGGGGACAGTCGCTTCCTCTTTTTGCTTCACTTGTCAGCTTGGTGCCTTGGAGCCACTGCTGATTCGTTGGGAAAAGACAGGTTTTTCAGCATGATCAACCAGAAGACAGTGAGGGTAAAGCTGTCTCCACTGCCCTTTTGAGGGGTATACCAGACATGGCCCTGTTGTCTAGGCCACCTTTTCTCTAGCTCCCTTGGGTTGTACCTGGGCTCTGTTAGCCTAGACGCGTGGCAGCACTTACATGCAGCAGTGCAGGAACTCTGAACATAATCAGTGGGTGTAATATAGCCACCGCTTCCATGGTGGGCTCACGAGAAGATGGGCTCCTTGCCCACTCAGGAGCCAGTGCAAGTTGTAGAGTTCCAGCATCATACTCTGTTCACAGTTCATACCACTGAGGTATCTGGGTGTGCCAGCTGGATAACAGCTGCCGTTTCCTCCTTCTCTAGCTGACTAACTGTACTGTTAAGCAAGAAGCAACATGAGCAAGAATCTCTTGATGCACTAAGCACTTCCCATTCCACAGCGTGGGGGTCGCAAAATGAGTGGCTTG